CTGTATCAGGGGAGGAGTTGGCCATTCACGTAACTACTGGACAATTCAATATCCGACAATTCTTTTCCAGCCTCGTCAGTGGTGGACCATACGTCTTGGGGATCCTGGCCCGTTGTAGAGCTATCCCCGCTGATCGCGTTCAACATATGACAGTCGCGTGCTGTTGCACATTTGATTTTGTGGGAGATAGCAGTACACGACGAACAGTTTTGTCCCAGCTGTTGTTTCCATAATCTGGGCACCTTTTCAGCTGCATTGCAACCTGGTACCCTTGCCTGGGGGTGCTGAAATTAGCACTTGCCTCGATCGGAAAGTGTCGTTGTCTCTATCATCACAAAGTCGACCACATCATGTACCATCTCTGTTGATGCCGTGGGCGCTTGACTGAGCTCTCAGTGGTTAGTCTTGTGGTAGTGCGCTGTGCAACCAAAAAGCTCTGAATGGCATGGACAACAGAATGGACGCTCTGCTTGCGTTTTCCAGTTCTTGCGTGTCCAGAAAGATGTCTGTATTTGGCGGTCTGGCAGTAATTCGGTCTAAAAATGGGTAAGACTGCTAGCACTTGTCTTCTTTCTTGCACAAATCCCAACCCTTTGGAGTAGAAATGGCAAATGGCAAATCCATCACTTCCGTGGCATGTTCTTTGCCAGCAAACAGCTTGATTTCATCGTTGGAGCGAGTCGATGTGCCAGCGACAGCACCCATTCAGCCCCCCCACCCACCCCCCACCCACCCCTTCTTGTGCCATGCTTCCTTTGGCTGCGTGGACTTACCTACTGGTGCGCCATCCTTATCTCACCCTGTTTTTGTCACACGCAGCACGTCCGGGCGTTTGCAACACCTGCATCCCGCCTGTCTATCAACACCCCCCTTGGCCCGCTTGCCACCGATGAAAACAGCTCCATGGCGAGCACCAGTCGGGCTGATAGAGATGGAGTTACCAACAACTACTGGGAGCCAAAGCCGGCAAACCGCAAACTAGAGAAGGCAACTGGGGATGCAAGTGCCAAGGACAATGATGAACCCATTCGCAAGGGGGTGATGCAGAACCTGTTCTTCTGAAGCTTGTGTAGCTGGCGCGTGCGGGGAGTTGCGCCTGCTCGTTTTGTCAAGGAAGATTGGCGGTAATGGACGGTGAGCGCAGCAGCATTGTCGCTGCATTAGGTGCTGCTTCCAGTTTTGGGTGCTGCTGGGTCTCGGATATGGAAGCTCAAGGGCTGCGCAAGGCGCGATACCTGACGACCTGCGTCCCCAATGGTTTTGAAGTTGTAGGCACCGTATGGTGCATTTTGTTTACAATCGTTGCAGAGGCAGCGCTGAGGATGGTGTCGCCCGTTTCCTCTTGCCCAATTCAAGGGTTTTGGATGTCAAAGCGGTTGGGATGAAGGGCGATGGACAAGAGCTGTTCGTGATGTTGCCCTGCAGACGTTGTGGCAGTTAGTCAAGGGTGGGCAGGGGTGTTGCCCTGTGCCATGGAGAAGGACTCAGTGGAGCTGTGTATGACTAGAGTGTTGTGACAAGTGGGCCAGAGGCCCCCAGCGGACGATTCTCCTGCTGGCGTTAAAGAATTGGGGATAGGGATTGCGATTGATTCTTCATTTCCCTGCTTTGCTGGGACCGGATTGATTGAGCACGGCCCCCCAACCTGCCCATTGAACATTGTTGATTGTTTCGTATAGTCACTGTTCGGTGAACTAGACGGTGATGAATGAAGACTATGACTGGAGCTGCGGTTGGTGCGCGCTTGCCTGTGGTGCACTGCTTGGTTAGGGACTTCTTGCTGCTCTGACCACGTGCTTGTGGTGGCAGAAGGAGCGAACGTTCTGGAAGGGGTTCTGCCTGGTTGGACGCCCCATGGGGTGGGTATGGCTGTAGGGAACACGGCACGTGCGGGCTGTACTTGCATAAATGTAACCGAGTGTACAGATGCAATTGTGTGCGCGCATGGGTGGCAGCGAAGGAGTTTGTCCAATTACCATCACGGTATCCCGCACCCAGCCATGAACCACAGGCCAGGTGCTCCCTGGCCGCCCGCGCTCGGGGGGCTCGCCTACAGGACATCTCTGCAACATCGATGTTTGGAATGTTCGGTCACAGTTCTGCAGCAGGAACGATCGTTGTCAGTCAGTTCAGCAAAATGTGCAGTGTTAAAGTTGGCCATTTCCAGGCCATAAATGACATGGCAAATGTCTCCATCAACTTCATTTTCCCAGCATCTACCGGCAATATTGCCAGCAGCATCGACTGACCACCATTAGTTACATCCTCAAAAGCAGATTACATCTGAAGACAGCAGCAGCATGAGAAGCGCTCAAGAAGCTACAATCCGACCAGAACTGTACAAGATCAAGCCGCTCAGCAATCAGAATTCCGGAACCAGTTCCAATGAACAGTTTCACTACCCTTCATGACCAACTACGCATCCACATGCAAGGTCCCGTCCGATTTTGACGCCCAGCATGGGATAACGACATCCTCTCACACACCCACAAGCCGTCAAGCGACCAGTCCGACATCCAAACACCGTCCAAGACCCCAAAACGGCAAAAGCGCACAGCAGCGCTTCCCTGCATTCTGACCATCCTGCACCGCGAGCCCTGCCTCCCAGTCTCACTGCCCAGCAGCTGGTTGGCGGTTTCCCGGCAGCCATGACGGCGACGCGATTCCGCCAGGTCGAAAGCTGGCGCTTTTTGATCGCCCAGTGGCTCGCCTTCGGCGACCTCTGGCTCTCAAGGTGGTACCTCGAGAAGTCTGACTGCCCTCCAGGCTACTGGTGTTTTGGGCTTACGGTAGTATTGCCGTTCAGCGACGAGGACGCGCCGTGGCTACATCACCAGCGAGATCATGGGGAAGACTCTCTGAGGTATCGGCTGCAAGAGGAGGCGCGCGAGGCGTACTGCCGCACCGTGTCAACGCAATTGACGTCAGGACATCTGCCTGGACCTGGGGAAAAGCCGGACTGGAACCCTGACTACAAGCCCGAGGCCGTGTACCGCCCCTGGGCACTCCAAGTGTATCCCCATCCGCATCGGCCGTACACCGGCATGGGTACGCAGGCGTTCTGGCAACGCATCGCGGCGATGATTGAGCGTGAAGGTGGACGGATCCAGGCCTGGCGCGGTGTGGAGATCAATTTTTACTATCGCCAGGTACATATGAGCCTTGACATCAGTGTACCGCACTCCGATGAGCGCTGCTGGCGCATGGAGGGTGGAGGCGTCACCCGCCGTGAGTACGCGGCCACGCATCCGTCCAGCGCGTCTGAAGTATTCGTCCGTGATCGGAAGGAGTTTGGTGTGCAAACGGAACCCAATGCGGCCGTACTGCCCTCCGCCGCCTTCGCGGAAGCCAGCGCGCTCGTGGCTCGACGCCTCAATGCGGGCAAGCCGCCGTACACGGCCGTGGAGTTGCGCGCAGAGGAGCGGGCCTGGCGGAGGGCCATCCGACGTCAGCGACGCGAGGCGAGGCGACAGGGGCAGGTCCACGATGACGTCATGGAAGAAGCGCCCGCTGGTGGACCACCCGCTGTACCGGCAACCCTCGGCACGACCGTGATGACGACACCAACCCTGCCACCCGGTTTTGATGGGACACGCAGCGAGGACGCGGTGACGCCATCACTCCCGCCGGGATTCGGCGGTTGATGGGCGCGGATTACGGGAAGAGGGGAGACAAGCTGGCAGTCGTGACGTGACGGTGTCCGGGCTGGCGGATGACGAGACGGAGGGTAGCCACCGGAAGCCAGCTGGCGAGGATGGAGTTGTCCGAGGGTTTCCTTGGCGGAGAATGATCTCTGGGGTGTCCTGGCTGGCGTGTGACCGGACGGGACGGATTGTACCGGAAACTTGCTGTGATTGGGTCGTGTCGTGTCCAGTTGGATGAGTGAACGGGGAGGCATAACGAGAAGGAGTGAACGCATGGTTGCCGGTTGTACCCGAAAGACAGTTCTGTAATAAATAGCCGCGGGGAGTCTGTCCTGACAGCTCTCCGGCAGGCCCCTGTGTGGCAAAGAGTGTCCCAGCCGCCTGTACCTCCCCACCGTCGCACCACAGCCCCCTGCCAGGCTCGGCCACCGCTGGCCTTGCCCCCTCACGTTACCCGAGAGTACGTGAGCCGGCCTAAGGAGCCTCGGGGCCCTGTGGTGTACCGCGCACTCACGCCGAGTGCTGGTGAGACGTTTGTGGGATCCAGAGTGACTGAGGGCGGCGCATTACGCAAGGCGGGCGCCGTCGCTGGTGCTGGAGTGCCGTAGCACCCTACGGGAGTGCGGATCGGCCGGTACGCGCAACGAGTGGACGCGGGGAGGACGTTGCGTCGTACGGAACTGGTGGAGGCCTCTGCGGTGAGGTGCGCGATGACTATGAGCTTTCCGGGGTCGCCCATGGAAGGGGCTGCCGTCATGGCGGCGTTGGCTGGCGCTGTCGGACGAGGTGTGAGGTTCCTGGGCGCTGGCATCCAGTGGATTGGGGACTTCTTGGTGACCCTACTCGGGTGGCTGGCCTGGATGCTGAATATTGATGAGACGAAGACGAATTCCATTATAGGAGCGGTCAGAATGGTTTACAATGGCCTGGCCCTCCTCATTTTGTTCAACATGACTGCCGCCATTTTCTGCGCAATGGGGCAACTTCTGCAGCAGCCCATTGGAATGTGCCAGTTTCCAAACTAGCCGAGTCGTCTGATACCCCAGCACCAGTAACAGCACACCCACGCCACATCATTTCACGGCGCACCTGCCACCTGCTGTCACCAGCTCGTCCTGGCTTTGCGCATGGGGCGAGTCGCATTGGCCCCGGAGCTCCCCAGGGGCCGCCCGCCCCATAGCCTGCTGTCGCTTCCTGTGATGCCATGGGTCAGGTGCTGGTCCCTGCTGCCAGGAACGGGCCATGCCAAGTGCCAAACTGGGATCCCGCCTCAGCCCAACCTATTTGCCTACAGCGAGCTACTGTCCCAAGCTCTTTTTGTTGATTGTGATATATTTGGGCCATCCTGCCTGCCAACTAGGAACTGTATGGTGCAGATTCGATCACCTTCTTGAGTTCTCGGCCAAGCGCCGTTGCCAACGGTGGCGGAACTGCATTGCCAACCTGGCGATGCTTTTGCTGCACCGTGCCATGGAATCGGAAAGTATCAGGGAAGCCCTGCCCGCACAAAAGATCAGATGAGGACCTGGCCGTGCTCTGAAGCACGTGCCTGTGCCTTGCAGGACCACGACGATCTGGGACCACAGGTCATGACAGGCGCCATTTCGCCATCCAGCAACCACAAGGAGCAAACAGCAAACAGCCAGCGGAATCCATGTTCCAAACGCAAAATTGTGCAAAAGAGCGCAGCATCCTATCAGTACGCTTTGAGGCAGATGTTTCAAAGCCCACCACTGGCTGCAGCACCTGGGGCGTGACACTCACCTGGGATCGTGCACATTCCCTCACTGACACAATTCTGTCCTGCTCAGGGTGAAAGACCTGGCCAACCTTGCCCATGGGCTGGGGATCAGTTGTGGAGGTGGGGAAATGGCCGTTGACATCAAGGCGACCGAAGAGGCCCCGCCAGTTGTTGTGACGATCGGCCGTGTGGGGCAAACACCATGGCACAAGGCTCTTACCCTGAAACAAGTAAATGGCACGTGCAGATGGGGTGAGAATCTGACATGGGCGCAAATCGGGCAGGTGTTGTTGAAGCACACAAGTATCGAAGTGAGGTGGTCATGAATGCCAGTCACAGAGCGACACTATGCAGTGGACTACATCCTTCAAGCTACCTATTGCATCTGCCTTGTCCTGTGCTGGTTATATGCGAGCAATAGCAACACACTATGCAGTGAACCCCATTGTAGATGGTGGTGGCACACCTTTGCAGCGTACCAGTTCAGGACCCCTTGCTGTGGCGCTCACCTTGAATTTTGCCCTGGAAGGGTCCTTTCGCACAAGCTCCTGGAGGCTGGACCAGTCAGCCCCAGGTGTGTTCTTGGGAATGCAGCGGCACCTCTCCAGATTCAGCTCATTCATCTCCTTGCAGATATGGTCAAAAATGCAGCTGCTCCCGTTACGGATTTCCTTCTGGAAGGCAGAGGATGGAGGATCGACATAATCGATCTTGCTTCTGTCATGCCCACCGTCAATGTATCATGCACAACGATGAGGAGAAGAGCGCAGCAGCCACATATGCAGAAAATGCTCACTGACTGTTACCTTTTGCTGGTGGGGCAATGAGCACTCGAGATACACGTATCCTGAACTCAGTCAGCCAACAACACATGGCTGCACACAAGCAATTGGGGCAATGCAGAAGTCCTGCAGGAGGGAATTGACTGAGATGGCCAGCAAGCAGTCAAGGGTACGCAGCCATATTGCACACACTGCTAGTGTTGGCCATACTCGATGTCTTGCCCCGTTCATTCATGCCTTGACTGGCAACTCACAGATCAGGCCTCTTCCAATCGACATCCCTCAGTTGGGTGCATGGGCACTGTTTCGTTCTATTGTCATGACGTGTCAGTGCATATTCACATTCCTTCCTGTGGAATTCCTCCAGGAAATGGACCAAACACAGGAAGATGGCCGCCATTCCATTGGCATGCAATGTTCGAACTTTTACGAATAGAAGTTTTGCACTCGCAGTTCCACGTTCATCTTGTTACTCGCTGCACCTGTCTGCGCCATTCTCGATGGGCGGCAAGTCAGCAATTGCATCTCTGACTGTCACAGAACGCAGTGGTGCCCCATCCAATTCAGGCACAGCTGTGTAGTTGATTCCTCCTGGCAGCTTTATTGTCAGCTGTGGATTGTGGAAGACATGCATGGGAGTTGGCCAGTTGGGCAGGCGCTCCCCAGGGGCCGCGCCCCAGATGAACGTCCGCTTCCGTGACTGTGGGACGCCGAAATTCCCAGCATTGAGGACGCCAAACCGCACCTGCCCCATGAGAAGCATTTATTGAAAACCACAGATATTTCTAATATGCAGAAGCACCCACTGGGACATCATTAGGCCAAGCTGTTTTGCAGGTAGCTGAGCGGAATTTCTGCAATCGGGCAATCGAAATCACCTTGCAGTGCAGTAATGAGCAGCTTGGGCACAGGGCAATCCATGACACAGAAGGTAGTAGGTAAACAATCAACACCAATAGTGTGACTTCTGAACACAGCCACGCACCTGGTACCCCATATCCAGCAGAGTCCTCAGCGTCAATCGAAACGTCTGGCTACCATTGTGGACAATGAAGTTTCGAACATTCTCCAGAAGGAAGAAGCGGGGGCGGTAAAGGTCGGCAAAAGATAGAAAGCACATGACCTGCACAGGAAACGAAGTTTCAGAGGCGAACTGCGCATACGGATGAGCACCATACAGGCAGCGACATGCTGATGTGTTATGATGTGTGCTGATGTGTTATAATGATGCATAGTGTGGTCGGCTGCAGCTGGTGGAACCCAGAACAGCACCTGCCAGTGTGGTTTGATTGATCTACAAGGCGGTTGGCTGCCCTTGATAGAACCCAGTACAGTGGACATTGATAACAATGACCATGAATTGCATGATAACAGGTACTGCTCGCCCAGCATGCCACTGGCTGTCACTCACCATAGAGTTCTGTGTGACGCTCCAGTCTCCCTTGTTGAAGCGATTCATTCCAGAATACCCCTGGCACGGTGGGCCTCCAGCGATGAAGTCAACTTCCCCTGGAGCAGGGAGTTGGGCAACCACGCTTTCAGGCAGGTTTGCCGCATCCTTCGCCACTTCCTCGCTTCCCACGCAGTTGCCTTGGAGCCCGCATTTTGTCATAGCCCGCATGAGTATCGTGCTGCTGTTGTTGCAGAACACTGCCGCCTGTGGGTGATTCAGTTTGAAGGCCTCCGCGGCAGGTTCCTCATACTCGATGGCCCACCTTGTATCCACGACACCAGCCTTGTGGAGCCCCTCAGATAAACCCCCACAGCCAGCGAAGATGTCCATCAATCGCAGAGCAGGCACACCCTTGCCTGTCAGAGGATGAACAGAGTCAGTGGGCACGTGATTGATGGGCGATCGGTGCTACCATGCAGAGCCACATTCGTCCATCAGCTGGTGCTTCCCAGAAACATGACGCATTGGAAGGTATTGCACACGTATGCAACCTTGCACTCAGCATATGCAAGAGACGACTGCAGCAATAAATAAACAAATGTTGATAATGTAAACACACGCAACATGGATATAAAAAGGAAAACAAATGACTAAATACAGTTCATGGGCAAAGGGGCTCAAAGAACCCACTTTGACAAGAGTTGCCACTGCCATCTTGGCGGGCAAACATTGATGGCGCTGGGCCAAGCTTCTGAGGGTTCTTGTGATCCACAGAATGGGTGCAGACGAAGGTGTCAACATCATCGTTGTGCACTGCCCCAGGTGCTTTCACTCGGCACTTTCCAACGACCAGGTCCACATCGACAACAGCCTCGTCTTTGCTGTAGTAAATGTCCCAGTAGTCGGCCTTGTACCCAAGATCGGGGTCCACATCTTCTGGTCTGTAGAACTTTCGAACTCGAACTTGGGTCACAGCTGAGCCCTAGCAGGACAGCAATAGAGCTAAGGAGTGCATGGATTTGATTCCAAGCAAATACAGGCTGCGACACCATTCAGCAGTTCATCAATTGGTGGTACCTGCAGGCCCAGCTCCACAAATATCTCCACTAATAGCCCTTGAACCGTTCACAAGACAACACTGTAACGATGACAAGAATTGCATTGTTCAGTTTAAAACGTACTTGTTCAGTTCAGTTTGTTCAGTTTTAATTGTTCAGTTTTTAAAACGTACTGACCGTCGGCAGTTCAGCACAGTTTAGCTCAGTCACATGAATCCAGGCATTCAACAACACAATGTGTTGATCGTGAATGTCGTTAGGCCAAATTGTATTGATAAAAGGCACTACCCTGTACCCCCAGAAATTTGCTGCCAACTGGGCACCCCAGGGATCGATTTCTGTTGAAGCATTCTGGCAAAATGCCGCCAGCAATGCGCTGTGTGCCAACCATCTGCAGATGCAAATAGTTCGGCATTTCCCAACAGCAGGAAGTCTCATGGCGGACTGACCTTACTGGACAGTTGCCTCTGACCACCTGTGGAAATCTTCAGCAGCTGGCACACGCCAAAAGCACGAAGTCCCCGGTTTGAGCCACCCTGCGAACAAAGGAGCAATGGTTGGTATGCAGTGCAGCAAGATGTTTTGCCATGCAAGTGCATTACCTGCCATGTAGCAGCAGCTCGCTTGGCTAACAAACGTTAGTGAAACATCCCTTCTGGTGTACCAAAAGCCTGGGGACACGAAAGGGTGTGCTTGCAGTTCAGCAGTAATTAGCAAAGCCTTAACACTTGAGAATCCAGCAGTTTGGTATTTTCAGAGTATTGAGGTCCCATTGTTTCGGTCAGTCATCACGCAAAACATCCATCGATTTCAAATGCAACACATGATGGAAAACGGGACACTGTGGTTCCAAGACATCAAAATGGAAGATATCAAGGGAAGAGGCACTCCTGGCACAAGACAGTTCTTGAAATGCCAGTGCCTCAGCCACCTCAAAAACAGCTGGGCTTCCAGTAGCGGCAAGTTGAATTGTGCAGCAGCGACAGATCCCCCTGCTTGATCAAAGGCCCATATTCACAGCTGCAATGATGTTGCTGAGCACCCCCAAGAGACTCTTGTTTCCTCATAAGAGCTCAGTACGCATTTCCCCCAAATATACTCAGCTTTGGGGCTGGCAATGGATAGCTTTACCTTGTGGCAGCGTCCCTTTGCTGCACTGTCTGCTGTCTTTTTGGCAACAGATTCAGTAAACAATGGCTCCCATGGAACTGACTGAACATACAGGTAGTCCCCGATCTTGTATTCGATGCCGTTCTTGACGAAGCCCTGACCACAGCCCTCCAGCAGTTGGCCACCCAAGGCCTCCTCTTCTTCCTGCCATTACAGATATGCCGATCATGCCAACCATCTGCTGAGGATGCAACACAACAGCAATACAAAGTCTGTAAAACAACACCAGAAAAGTACAAAGGTAGAAAGATGCACAATTCATTCGAGAACAGTGAAGATCCCATCTCCAGACAAGAAACAAGGCACAAAATGTAGTTGCAGCCAAAGCATGTCTTGTATCTCAGAGCCAGTGAGGGGAGTGCACTGTTTCTTGCCTTGCAGCCTTACCTCCATGTACTTGCCAAGCACCACTTCAGGCTCAACTGCACAAAACATGCCCTCTCGTGGTTTGTAAACAGATCGGTAGAAGTGGTGCACAGATTTGCCTTCTGCTGCCAGCTGTGCATTCTTGTTTGCCAACATTTCATCTTCATGCATGTGTGACAAGCGGAGAGAGGCTCCCCAGGGCCTGCTGAGACGAGTCGCTGACAAAACGTTGGATACAAGTCGCAATTGCCTGCCAACAAAGCAACTTGACTGGTAAGATTCCACACGTTCAAGAAGGCAATATTTGACCAGAGCTGACGATGTCTTTGTTCACTATCTGCAAGGAAACTGGGAGCTTCCACTGGACTGGACCTATGGGCGAGTCAAGGCCTGGCACAGTGGAGATCAGCACCTACAATGCCAAGGCGCATCACAGTGACGGCGACTCTAGCGCCTTGAACACAATGGCCATAAGCACAGAGGCTACTGAGGGCACTGCCAAATCAACTTACCTAGTTCTGAACTCGTCCAACAGAAAGAGTTCAAATTCTGAGGCAGCATCACCCAGAACCGTTTCCCTTCCCCAGGCCATTGCCCTGACCTACAATCCACAGGAGTTGGTCACCACAGGTGCAGTGATGGACATGCCAGTGCCCTTTCGCATGAAACAGGCTCCTTCGAATGTTGTTTCGGTGAGCCAGAAAACTGTGACCTTGACACAAAAGCTACCAAGCAGTGAGGCATTCACCACTGCACAAGCACTCTATATGCACTCACCACACAACCACAGTGTTTCTTAAACCGGGTATTTAGCTCTGAACGTGAGAGCAACTGGCAAGCATTGTGCAAGGAAAGGCAGAAATGCACTTCTATTAGTTTGCAGCCAGACATGTAGAATTGTTGGCAAGTAGTGCCCCCAGGGCATCAGGAATGCTCCCATTCACTGCGACTGCTTCCATCATCTGTGAGAGCTGATCCTTGCAAGGGATCAGTGGCTTGACATTCCATGCTCATGTGTTATTGTGGGTAACTGCTGAAAACTGCAGTTCACAGATGCTCTGGAGTCACAACACAGATTGTACACACATTGCCAAGAAGGGGGACTTCGCCTTGAAACACAGAAGTTCCCACCTGAATCAGTTTCTCCCCTTTGCTAGTCTGCCACAGACACTGCACCATGCCAAGTTCGTCATCATCTCCATCCCCTTCCAGCACAACAACACTGCCAATGACAATGTCCTGATTGCCGGCCTTGGCACGATTGAAGAACTGGCGGCCGCCACGGTGGCCAGTGGATTCTCCAAGGAGTTCAAACACCTGTGAACAGCCCCCAGACATCTGTGCTGATGCATGTTCAATGTAAGGAGGCCTTGCCAAGCGTCCATATGAATGCTGGGAACACAGCATGCAACACATCACCAATGAACAGATGCAATGGCATGTGAAGACCACACATTCAAGGAAAATCTGCAGGTTGAAAGATGTAAGGCTGCATGTTACCCACACCCAACTAAGGATACACTCTACCAACAGGGTTTTGGGACAGTGGAGAGGCCCAGTTCTCATGCACCAGCTATCAGCAGCTAAAAATATCTGCAAGTGCTCAGCATGCAATGGCCAAGAGACAGTTGCGTAAATACTGCCTTTGTAATTTCACCTTCTTCTTGGCAAATCCACGAACAATTCTCTTCCGAGATGGGCTAGACACATCGAGATTGGTCTCATGCTCGTCATCCTCATCTTCATTCTCATCTTCACCACTGTTTGTGTTTGAGATCTTCCCCTCTGGTGCCCCTGCCTCTGAGTTTGGAAAGTAGTTCTGCCAAATGTTCTTCACCAGCTGGGTGGCTACTGCTGGCAGTGTTTTTCGTCGGGCATTGGCTGTCCGATCCTTGGTGACACAGGGGCATTGGCACGTCAGTGGCATGGCCAGTGTCTAAACTGTTTAGTTGGAACCACGAAATACTTAGTAGTTGCCACAATCAGAACGTGGCAGCCCAACACCCCTTCACAGTGGTGTAGGTTGTGCTGCAACAGTCTTCTGGATGCAGAGTGCAATGAGGTATTAGTGATCGCAGTGCTGCCAGGCTTCAGCTTCAACGCTCAGCACCAGAGCTGCTTCAAGGGTGGATATACTGCACAGCTGGGCACAATACGTTGACCTCCATCGCCTTCTTGCATGATTTGTCAAAATGGACTAATGTGATCAAAGATTTGCAAAGAAGCAAACTGCATGTCCAACAGACGACATCACTTGATCACACTGTCTTGAAGATGTACAAGCAACAATGGTGAGATTGGCAAAACAGGCTGAAACTACGTAAGGTGCCCATTGCCCCATCAACAGTGTCCATCCCGTGTTCGTCCCTCAATAAGCTGGTTGTGCTCCAGCAAAATCCAAAGTGCTTGCTGAATTACAATGGGTACCAGCAGCATCTGCGGGGAACATTTGTTGCACCTGTGACATAAATCTGGTGAACTTCCTCCACAGCTGGAAGCCAAACACAAGGGCTTTACCTTCATGGGGTTTCGGTTGACGATGCTGCGCCGCACTGGTGTCTTTTTTTTGGGCATGTACAGTTTGGAGTGGCGACGCATTTCCATCAGTTCCTTGAGGCCCTGCACAAAGGCGCACCTCTGCACTTGTGGCTTTGGGTACAGGCTGAACTGGTTGAGGATGATTTGGCCATGGACCACAACAAAGCGCTCAACCAGCTGCACCTGTCGATCACAAAGTGGAAGTGTGTTAGAAAGCCCAACCAGCCCACTGCGCACTGCAGAATGATGCAAAACCTGCCAGACATCGTATTTTCTCGTGCCAAAAGTCAGCAACGAAGATATCACAACGACAATCGGGCAGCACGCCATGAGAGAAGACATGCAGGCCCTTTGCCACCTCACAATCCAGTGCACTGAGTTGGAAGGCACAAACAGGATCGTTCACAAACTGATGAGAGCAAGATTTCAGCACTGGAAAATTCAGCAGAAGGGGGATTGAGCTGGGGGCTGGGCGGAACAACGCAAAACCACATCTTAGATTTCCGTAGTCCAGTAATCGGGACTGAGAAACACATCTTTGTTGCCAATGGCGGACATTGTTGCCCTGGAACGAATCCACATACCTTGGAGGAGATGAAAGTTTCATCTTCAGGATGCTGCTCTGACAAGCGCTTTATCACGTCATTGAATGACAAACGTGAGAGTCGTGTCTGCACACCAAGAAATGAATATCATAGATATTTCCCGTTCAAACTCCTGAACAGGAATTGACAGCACCAGCCCTCACAAATTTTGCAGTGACCAAGTGATACATTTGATCCTGTTGCTGGCCACACTGCTGGCATGAAGAAATATTAATCAGCCAAAACCAGACCAGCGCCCAGACAACTGGCAGAAAATTGCATGCTGCCTTCCATGCCAGCGATTAAGAGTTGGAAAACAGCTATGGAATTTGTCAGTGGTGTCAGTTGCTGCATAGATGCTCAACAAATGGCAATTTCGAAACAACTCCAAACAATTTCACACAAGAAATCGTTGACCTATGGGCACTGACACAGTGTTACAGCACCGTTTCCAGTCAGCTTCAGTGCTGACTTTCGCCCTCACCGAGTGAAATTAGATAGTTTCAGAGTACAGCATTTGGTGACCATCATTTTGCAGGGAAGGTATTTCTTGCACAAGCATTTCTGCTTGGCAAATTCATTTTCTCAAAAACAGGGAACGTCCTCCACCCCACCTCTTCTGTGAGCATTCCAATTGTCTTCACTGCAAGCCTCGCACATTTCAGAACTACATTGAACCATGGCGTGTAGGCAGGTAGAGGACTGCAAGAAAACCACGTCAACTTATTGCTGCCAGGATAAACACAATGTGCTCATTCTAGAAGGCATGATCATCTGCACTCTGTGGGGGCATGTGAGGCACCCATCCGACCAAAGATCCACCAACCAACCGAATTTGATTGTGAACAACACCCAGAAAGCACTGCTTCAGACAGCCCACCAAGTGCACTTCCGCTGGGAGCCCAGCTTGTCATACTTCCCCAGGCTTTAAACAGACAGAACCCCAAGCACAATGCTCCAAGGTGACGAGTGGACCGGAGATGGGGCTGCTTTCAGATTTGTGGTAAGATTGTTACTTGCCTACCAGAGGGTGTCAAAATCGTCCTTGGTGTTGTGTCAAGAGTGCGGAGTGAGCAGGGGATGTCCAAGTATGTGTGTTCGCACCTTTTGAGCCGATACCATGCAACATCTGTGCGAATGGATATGAACAACATGTCGCACGTGCACTCAGCTATCCACTCTCTGATCTGACTCACGAAAACTCGCATTCCGCCTTGATCTTCTACCCCACCATTCTGCACTGAGCTCCCTGCACAGGCAGCAGATGAGCTGCCAGCAGGACAGGACGACGATCCAGCAGCATGGTAGGAAGACGAGCCTGCGGCTGGACCTGAACACGATCCACCTGGGGAGCAGGGGCCAATGGTGTAAAGCAGGGAACAAGGCGAAGGGTTTGGAAAATTCGGTGAAGCGGGAAGCTGGTGGTGCATTGAAGGAAGAGATTCGCTGGACAGCAGGACATAACACTCACAAGAGTGGGTGGGGCTCAGAGTTTTGGAAAAGGAGCAATAAATCGTTCTAGATGTGTGTAAGCGACTGGGTCCTCAAAATCAACTTGAAAGTATAGCGCATGCATCATGTCATGTGTATCTACTGCATGCTGATCGACAGACAGCATCAGATTCCTTGGAGCCTACAATGGGCTGACAATGCATGGCAGTTGAAAATGGGCAGCTGTCCACCAGCGGCTAAAACGCCACAAGGGCACTGCTTTGCACTGTGCAGCCAAAAGGCAACATCAGAAACACAGAAATGAACAATACCATGGGGCATCTTTTTCTCTCCAGTGCTTCACAAAGTTAACGGCAGTGACAAGGGCACAGCAAAGTGTTCCATCGACCACCTTGAGCACCACTACAAGGTGCAAAATGTGTTTTGCTGGCAAGCAGAGTGTGGGCATGCAAACGTGCCCTGAAGCCGACCAGTTCTGGCAGGTGCCAGCAGCCTCAGGACCGATCCCACAACAGGTCTGCGCACAATGATTCATGTCAGCATCAGCAAACAGCAGTTAATTGCCAGCATGAGTCGATGCATATCGATCCTTGAGCCAGCAGTGGATTGGAGACAAACCTGCTGCCTCAGGGCAATCAATTGCCATTCCCTCCCAATCCCCCTGATCTTCTGTGACAGTGCCAGAGGCATACAGCTCAACGTCAGGGTCCACCCCACCCCACATTGGTAACAGCTCGAGGCTGGAGAAAAAGCCCTGTGCAACACAGCGGTTTGTCATCCTGCAGTGCTGGCACTGAACTGCAATCTCCAGATAGTATGCCAAGGATGCCAAATCAGAGCACCAGCGACACCGATTCTCTCCAAAGTTAGGAATTCCAAACAGCTGGATTCCCAGAATATTCCTGAATGTAGAGGATAGGCATCCCTGTGTTGGACTTCTAACTTTGGGGTGGATGTGACAGACTTGGGACAACACAACGCAGATGAACAGTTTGCAATTCATCGCCATGATGGTGTCTGGGTATGATTTGTTCATAGCTGCAGATGCATTCACAGGTATTCCACCTCCGTCCCCATCATCTCACTGATCTAAATGCCGCCTGGTGGTGTCGTGATCAAGCCAGGGCAGATGAGCCCTGAGGATATGCACATGGCTGAGACCCTGTTTACCTCAGAGTTGTAAACTGCAAAGTCTGACAGAATCCGCTTTGGCAGCTCTTCAGGCGCCAAAGACAGCAGCCCCTCATCAGCCATGAGCAGCTCGTCCATCTCCTCACGCTCCTTTTCATACTGGGCAGGGAATGGATAGTCATCAGCGATCTCCTCCTCATTTATCTTGATGTATGTCTGCTTGGCCCCTCGTCTGCGGGCAAGGAAGACCATGTCAAGTGCAGATTCAGTTGTGACCAAATTTCAGTGGGCAGGGGACCACCATATGAGCGACTGCACGCAGCACCACAGTCCATGTGCGCAACTCTCTTGCTGCCTGTTGGCAGGTTGCACACCAGTGTGCGGTGACACTACAATGATACCCACCTGGGACCCTGACAACTTCTTGCCTCCTCCTTTGCTTGCAGGCGACGGGCGAGGTCCTCATCTGCCTCCAGCTGCTGCTGTTCTGTGCTGGCAAACTGGATCCTTGCAGCAACTTTGCTGCTTCCCCCGTCATCACCGATTCTCAAATCCCCAGGAATACAGCTGAGCTGCTGAGATTCGACCTGCAAGTGCAAATGTATCCAGGGCTTCAATCATGGAACACTAAGGGTTGTGCATGCCACGTGCCAGTACCAGCAGCGATAAGAGAGGGTCATGGATGGTGAATGCGTAAGCGCATATAGCAAAACCTGTCAAACCAACATCGTGGCATCTGATGACGGCAACTCGACTGAGCATGGAAAGATCACATGAATGTGGCCCTGCCCAAGTTCCTTATATGCCACTTGTGCACCGCATGAGGCTGTTGTCAAGAGCATGGACAAGCAACTCAAACAGCAGCAAGTGCATGTGTGAGAAGCTTGATACTGAAGGTGTACAATCCAAAAGGCATGCGTTCCGGCACCCAGCGAACCCGTTCCGTCGTTGATTGATAACTGGTAAGCCACAACACTAAGCAAACAGCAAGGACACTGAGCCAACCTCTTGCTCCAGCACCATAGCAAACGGTGTTTCCTCGAATTGCATGCTTGATTTCGCAGCTTGCTCCGTCATTTTCCTCAGCTGCTTAAGGATGAACCTTCCATTCAACAGCAATGCCTCCTTCCAGGTCTGGTATCCGTGATTTATCTGGTCACAAGCAACCCTGCCATGATTCAATATCTGCACTTGCGCTCTGTGGGCAGCTGGCCAATGGTTGAGGATGTTTCCCAGTCAGTCAGCACTACACTGTTGAGCCATTGGGGTAAGAGGAAAGCATACAATATGGCCTCGATCTACTGAGCATCAGATATCCCATGGAGTCATATGTGCCTGGGAGACAGCAGTGTCTATTCCGACTGGGCAGCCAACTAGGTACGCTTTACCTTCCATCAAAAAGCCACAAGAATAGCAAGCAGTAGAAAGCGCTTCAAAGGCTGTCTAAAATGCAAAGAGCTCCAACCTGTGACACGGCATCGGTCCGTTGCGATTGGTGAATCAATCTAGTCTGGTATGCATGCCGATCCCACAATTCTGGAGCACACCTTCCTTCGCGACAGCTTGATGACCAGGTCGCTGAAAGATGTTTCAGGATCGCCACCAGACTCAGGATTGAGGAGCTGCCAAACCTGTGTCAGGGTCAACGTTGTCAAGTCTCCAGAGAAACCAGATGTAAATGCCATCGAGCACAAGCATACAAGTGCAGCGAAATGGACAATCGCCAACGCATTTGCTTCCATGCCGGTGTTTTTGCAGTTGTTGCTATGCTGCACATGCTCAGCTAGCAACTGAAAACTGAGTACTGGGGAAAGGGATAGAAACTTTCTGTCCTTGTGAACATCTGGCTGCAATTGGAGTTGCCTGAATCCACAGCGAAGCAGAAGGACAGTTTCACAGCCCGCCTTTCAGAGAGTTGTTTTGCCGTCAGCTTCACAGTCTTGGTGAACTCAAATCATGATAATCGAGCTGACAAGGCCATATACTACTGTTTTCAAGCTTCGCAAGCATTGAGTGCTACATCTGGAAGCACATGTTGAGGTGAGGCGTTGATCAGAATTGGGGATACTGATAAGCGAAACAAAATCAGGTGCATGGACACAGGATACCCATGAGCTGGGGTGAGGAGAATGTCTCTCTTACTGCTCTTCTGGGGCATTGTCATCTGGACGAAGTCACACCTGAGTGCAGATATCAGCTTGTTCCGAAAGTGTGCTGAAGCTTTGTTTGTAGGATGGACCAGCCTTCAAGCAGAGGTACTTAGCAGACGCTGTCCACAACCTCACCTGCAAGATAGAAGGGGAGCGGGGTTTTTCGCATATGCAAAAGATTGAAAGAAAAGCACGGATGACCAGCTGCACCTTGGAGACATGTCATAAGCAAGCCTGTGGGTACACATATGTGGACATTTCTTTCTAAGAACCCACCAAAACAGTGCATGTGCGCGCAGCCACAGCTTGTGAGATATCCAAGAGTACAGAATTGAGCATCCCTGTGGTGAAGGGCATAAATTGCAAAATGTTTTGCTTGCCACAGATAATGCAAGCAGATATTGACTTCCACGGTGCATTTGCAAGGGGTGCTACTCACATGTGTCTCTGTCTTCGAATACAAGATGTCCCATTTTTGAATGGGGCCGGCGTTCATCACACGTCGCCCAGAAGTCTTCGTCACTGGGCCGTCTGGTTGAATTGTTCCTGCGACAGTACGCAATGCAACAGCCATGCTTACTCGTATGGTATTTTAACTGTGCACTGTTGGTCCTAAACACCGATTTCCTGTGCAAAATTTTCAGCAACATTCAGACGACTGTCTGATTTCATAACTTACAAATCGTTGACCTTTGGCACTCAGGACTTCCAAAGCTCAGGTGGATGGGTGCTCTTGGGGAATCCCATTCACATGCACTGCATGCATTTCCACATTGTTGATGGACTGAACGTGCACTTTAGCCGCAGCAAGAAACTGAATGGACAGTTGCAAGCCATGCCGTTCGCGATGGGCACCCAGACCAATAGCAATCGCACCAACGTTCACCTGAGAAGAACAAAGGCTTGGCTATCAAGTCCAGGACCTCAAGTGGCTGGAGGTGCCCTGACTCATCCACCACATCAAAGTCATTGAGCCTGCTCACAGACACAGGCAAAGTTCAGCACGTCCTTGTGCACATCACAATTCTCTAGCCGTCTAAACAGCAGCATGGTCAATTGCCCATGGGCTTTGACTGAGCTGCGAGCATCGCCTGTACATATAGGCCATCCGAGTTGATGCCTCAACAAGCAAATGCGTCCAATGCCAGCCAACATGCGCATGACCTGGCATCCCACCTTCGGATGGGACCCCCTCCGGACCCCGTCTCCGCCAGCGCCTGCTGCTCAGATTCGCACAACGCCGCTCGTTTTACGGTCACCCAATCCTCCTTGAAGGTCTTCAGCAGGTCTTTTTCCTCGTAGTCGATGCCCTGCGCGACCTGCCGCCCCGACCCCACGACTTCCGATGGCTCCGTCCTGGCCTTCTTGCCCGCCTTGTTCTCCTTTCCGCTAAGCTCCCCGTTCGGCGAGCAGCGCTTCCTGCCGCCGGCATGACCTGACAGGTACGCACGCACGGCGCAACATTGGCTTGCTTGGCCGCGGGCACAGCTGGGGCGCGCTGCAGGGACTCGACACCGCGGCGAAACAATCCATTGGCAGAGTCTCCATTCGGCGACTTCGGGGTCCCCTTTTCGTTGCGGCTCAATTCGCAATTGACGAGGAGCTTCGCATCAGCAAGTCCTGACGCACGGGCACCAGCAGCGCTGAGGACGCAAAGGGCGCGCAGTGCTGTGGGAGCCATTGCCACCGGCTTGAGACCATCCGCAATCACGGACCTGCATGAATTGCGTTTTCATGGCAACAGCCTTCAAGACCTAGGCGCGATCACTTCGCACACGCGTCGCCTTACACCGGGAGTCGCGGGGGTGCCATCGCGCCGCGGCAGCGCAGTTTTAAGCGCGAAGGGCTTAATGGGTCAATGCACACGGGATTGCCCCAAATGCGTCCCGATGCCGGATAGCCCCTCACCTTGGCTTCCGGCCATCGCGATCGAGGGAGGAAGGCAGGCCGCTGGGGCGCGCCAGGCGCGACTCCAGAGCAGCGCAGAATGCCACCCTGCAGGGGCTGAAGGAGCTCTATAGGCGGGAATGCAGGTCGCTGCCAGATTCCGCAACCTGGACTTTGCGAGGGAAGGCATGACTAACACGCAACCAACACCACAATCGTCCACGAATGCCCTGCTCGACTGTCTCGGCAGGCCCCACCCACACGACCCCTGTGCATCCCCACCTGCATGCACACTGGGCGCGATCCTGGCGCGCAACCACTCGCCAGGCCGGCGGGACCACCGATTGCGGCCAAGTCCTGAGCGGACGACAGCTCCTTTCCTCGTTGTGCACACTGAAGTTTGGCCGCAAGCCTGCAATGCCCCCCCCCCTTCCGCCGAAGGCGCCTCATCAGCGACGGCCGAACGGCGTTGGCGGGCGTCGTCAGGTGCGCCCCAATCGGGTTCGGCAGGCGCGCACCCCGCGAACACTTTGTGCCAGACATGCGTATTCATGCGATCCTTGATTGATCCTTGTGACTTGGTTGGCTGCTGGGCCGACTGCAGCCCCTCCTTGTGCGCACCAATGGCCGTCTCGCTGAGAACGCGACAGGGGAATGAGCACATAGGCAGGGATGCCTAGACTCAAGACACCCCCTGCTTCCCTGGATCATCCAGCGCCTTGACCAGTCTCTTTCCGGCTCGAGAGTGTAGAGTCCAGAGTCTAGAGCAGGCAGGAGACTGGTATGAGGCGCTGGATGCCCTGCGCGCTAATATCTGCGGGTGTCTGCGGGGCGAAGGTAATGTGCTAGTCGCGTGGATCCGACTATCCCGACATTGGACATCGCCAGCAGTCTCTTGCTCCCATTGGTCATTGCTGCGATGCGATGAGCTCGCTGCGGCTGCGCCCGTTGGGCGCAATCTGTTTTTCACGCTCTCAACGCGCGTCTCGGTGCGCCCTATTGAGCAGACTGCAATCACGGTCCTGGCTGGCCGCTCTTCCGTGCTGGTAAAGAAGGGCAGGGGTATACAGAAGCAACCCAATGGAGGTCGGGACACGTGGAGAAGTTTCCCAAATCTGCTTCACGGAGGATGTCTCTGCAAATGAAATCCGTGGTGTTCAGTTCCCAGCCGCAGTCACCGTTCGCCTGGAGTGGTGCTGATTGGTTGATGCCTCTCTTGGCCCGTTCGGAAGCGCACGGCGCCTTGCCAGCGATGCTCATGATCGGGGACCGCATCACAGCTTTGAGCGCGTCGTTTGATAACGTTCCCACTGATTCCTGCCAGTACAACTGACTTTGCTGGACTGTGGGCAAATGCTGGGCAATGGTTGGTCAAAATGCATGCACATTGTTCTTGTTATTGCTGCTGTTGCTTTTGCTGTTCTTGTTGTAACAGTAAGAACAAATATTGTTGTTGTTGTCATTCTTGTTATTGCTCTCCCCATGCTCATAGGTACTCGACTAATTCAGTAGTTTGCATTTCGGAGTTGGGCTGAAGGGATTTTCGCGCTGCACTGAGGGGAATATTTGGTTGTTGCAAGTAAGTGTTGCTGTGCTGGTTCGTTCTACAGGTTGCTTGGGCTGTAACAAAAGGTGCCACTGAGCTACGCTCAGTCTTCTCAGTGGCAGGGTGGTGAGGAGAAGATGTTTTCTGGTGTTCGCGACCAGGTGTGGACAGGTGTGCCTGAAGTTGGCCAATGTCGTCACCATGGTCAGAGAGCTTTATGCTTTGGTTGCACGAGAAACAAAGTGGACTTCATGCAACTACTGTGTTCCGTTGCTGGGTTCAGACTGCTTTTGACGACCTCTGTGGGCAGAAAAGGAACTTGCTAACACATGTGCTCAAACGAGCAAGGAGTAGCATCTGGTACATATGCTGTATGCGCTGTGAAGTTGTGAATTATGTTACGCACATAAGAAAGCATTTATGGGTGACAGGAGGGCGACTCAGTACATGGTTGTTGGGCTGTGTTCAATGTCGACAATCAGTTGTTGTAACAAATGGTGTACTTCGTGTTGGGCCAATGTGATTCAATTCTTGCGTGAACAGCACAGTGCATGCCAGCCTTGTTTGTTACCGATGTCAAGTACTGCAGTACTTGTGATGGTTGTGATGTCCTTAGGGGCAATGCTCCTTGCCTTAGCAGTTTAGCAACAGAAGAAGAAGAGAACGCACCACAGGCGAAGTAATGTATGGAGGCCCTGCCATTGACAGATGGCACCTTCAGCTGCAGTCCACCCAACTGCCAGCATTTTCGCAAAACACTGCAATGGTGCTGGCTGTCTACAGGGAAAGGGAGTCCTGCAAGAATCGATTCTGCCATCGCTGACGCAAAGGACGCTGCACACATTTTCCAGCTGGTTGAAACTATTGGTGATGACTTTGCGGAAGAGCATCTTCTCAAGGCTATACTCAAGCTCTCAGCAGTGGCCCCAGAGAGTGATACTGGACCAAATGGGGACATTGTTACAAGCAAGTCTCTGAAACGGATGGTCCTGGCAGCAGTGCACAATGCTCAAGTCTACAGCCTTCTGGATTTGGCAAACATCATATGTGCTCTGGGGCGCATTGGTGCAGAGGTGGACGTTGCACACCTCGACTACTGTGCTGTTCAGCTCGCTGAAAGCCTCCCCACCGCTCAGCCCAATGTGCGCTGGCAGATATACATTATATACTTGTCTGTATATCTGTCTATATATCTGTGCAGTGAAGAATGGTAGAGTTTGGGGTGCTGAAAGGCTTTCCCTATTGGCAAGTGTCAACAATTCTTTGATGGTTTGTCAACAGCTGAACATCATTTACACATGTTTTTTGTGCCCGCTACTGGTTATCTCTCACTTTTGCTGCAGGTTGCCAGTTTGTTCATGTGCTTGCAAGCATGCAGTCAAAAAATGATGTGCTGATCCCTCTGTACTTTCAGATCTCTGGTTGCTTCATGGCGATAGCCTTCAGAGCATCGACCAGAATTGGCACTTGACACTGTGCCTTTATGCACATGTGGTGTGTGAACTTCTGCCCCAGTAGGCTGTCATCCCAGCCCTCCCATTAAGCAGTCAGCCACTGGTGGAACCAACAATCAGAACATCCTGCACTTGTTTTCTGGGTGTTCACATGCAATTGCTGCCATCAAATTCTCCACACTGGGCCGCAAACAGAATGCAAGCACGTCTTCTCTGCAACTACAATCTATATCCAAGTTTGAACTGACAGCTCGGGCACTGTTGTGTCTCTGACAGATCGTCTCCACCTTCATGTGGGGCTTCACAAAATTGTCCTATACGCCAGGGATCCTTGTCCTGGAGAAGGTCGTCGACTTCTTCTCAAAGTCCATGGACCACTTCATGCCCCTGAGCATTTGTGAAATCGTCTTTGCACTTGCCAGCATGCGAAGGCACCCAGGAAGTGACGTGCTGCAGCGCGCCATGGACAAAATCGTCACCGCCCACAACCTGCCCAGCCCCATGGACCCCATGACTGTGGCATATTTGCTGTGGGCATACATCGTATTCAATGAACACCCTGGCAACGACATCCTTGTTTGGGTCACAGGGAGCATGCTGGCCAACCCACACAATTGGACTGGGAATGAAGCCAGCATCCTCGTGTTGTGGGACTTTGCAAACATAGGGTACTTTCCTGGTCTGGATCTTCTGAACCTGGTGCACAGTGGGCTGGACCCGTCCACTTGCATGGAGAAGTTGGGAACAGACAAGGTCATGCGGCTCTTGCTCTCCTTCTCGAAATTCAACTACCATCCTGGAGAGCAGTTCCTTGAGAAGCTCTCAGTTACCTTGATGCAGTATGCGGCCCTGCTGATGGGTGATGCCATCGAAATCGTCCTTTGGGCATATGCCACATTCTCTTTCCCCCCAGGACAGCAGCTGCTGTGGGAGTGTGCAAAAAACGTGGAGCGCAATTCTCGGAAGTTCAGCCCTGTGCAGCTGGCGAACCTTCTGTGGGCGTTTCATCAGTTCGATGCCTGCCACAGCGACCTCTGGTCCACTCTGGTCCATCAGCTGCATGTCTACCCTCCACACGCCATTCCACCCCCTGCCCTCCTTCGCATATATGAGGTCAGCCAGTGCTCACTTCTCAAAGTCATATCTTCCTATCCTTGGTTGTACCATAGATGCAGTTGTTAGACAGTGTCATGAATATCTATTTCCCAAGTTCGCTGCAAATTATGATCTGGAATGTAAACAGCAATAGTCTTTTGTAGCATTGCATCATCTCCATCACAAAGTGACCACACCTTTGAAACCCGATGACAGGAGGCGCACACACAATACATGCATGGCCATCATTCAGTTTCCTGACTTGGCAACTTGATGCTGTTCAGCCTGTACACTCTCAAGAACAGATTGCTGTTCCATTGGGTTGCTGTGGTACAAATTTGCAGTGGAAGTGTGTACGGCACCACACTGCACCTTGAGCGCAATCGCTTGCCGCAACTCGCAGCAACTGTTGAACTTGCCATTGTCCATTGTTCAAGCACTGACGTCAATGCAAGGAAACGATGTCCCAACCACTGCCAACTCCCTGCCCCTCGGTTGTCTGGAAGATACCTATCAAGCAAGGGGCCTGATGGGCTGCACAGCTGTAACGGCATTTAACCTGTACGCTGCCAGGTGTACCTTTACATACAGTGCATGGTGCCCGACATGGCGAGCCATGGCTTCGTTCCCCTGAAGTCCGATCTGGAGGGCCAGTGTGCTTCCTGCTGGAAGGAGCGCATTAAGCTGCGAGTTCAGCTGCAGAGTGGGGAGGCAGTTGCGCTGCACCAAGAAGTGGGGTCGATGCTGTCCTTAATGAACGTCGTGGCAGTGGAGGACGAAGTCATGGAAGACCAGCTGTTCGCTCATGACTTCGCCATCCCGGAAACAAAGACGCTTCTGGACATCGTCGGTCCAGAGTCGTGCCTGCGCAATGTCAAGGCCCCCTCAGGGCCTGCTGTTTCCAGAAACCGCCTGCTGCAGGCACACTACAAGGGCAACAGTGCCGGCTGGAGGCCTGTGAGTGTCAATTTTCATGAGTGGGAAATGCACAAGGCCAACGGTGACTGCCAACAGTACCTTGTACAGATCATTGCGCCAGACGCCAAGTAGGGTCTGGGAAGGGAGTTGGGAAATTTGTTGATTCTGGGACACTTTTTAACTCAAACCACAACAGCTTAAGGACGCCAGTTAGGACCAGCCCATTAGCCATCTGTAGAGGCAGCCTTTGCAGCAACAACTGTGTACACAGTGTTCGATCAAACCCCACACATTCCGGTGGCCATGGCAGTCTGGGGCAGCCTCTCAGCCCAATGGACAAGGAAGGAATAGACCTGGCCCCATCATGATCGGTGTGCATGACGTGCTGGATTCAGAGCCACGATGCGGCAGGCAAATTGCTCCCCACGGATTCTGCATTCTGCACTGGTGGATCAGAGAGCATACCGCTGTCGTCACACTGCACAACACGGAGGAAGCAGCTGTGACTGCGTCTTTGCAGGAGCGGATTCTTTCGTGAAACAAAGTCATGCCTATCCCTGATGCACAGAAACAGGCCCAATCACTTGTCCTTGTGGACCTGTTTCTCACAAAAGCACACAGCCGTCGGCTCGGTGGCATCGTGCACCTTCCTTGGATCTCAGGCAGGGATTTCGAGCGGAAACAAGACAATGCCCGACTGCCAACTGCCAGATTGCGAAAATTCGCAGCCATTTGAGCCATCTTTCACTTCCGGTCACCCCGCCACGGACGGGCATTGCCACACCCGCTGCACACACGAGCGCGCCGCGTACTATATCGCCGTACAACCGCCCAAATTCGTCCACGCACGCCATTGCCTGGACGCCTTTCAAGGTTGCGCTGTTCACCGCCGCGCCGTGCGTTTAACTCGTGGGCCCGCGAGTGTCGTCCGACGCTCGGCGATGCCTCTCGCGGCCTCCGCCCTCCAGCCCTGTCTCTGCGACGCCGCGGCTCCTATTCCCGCCTGCTGGTTCTCCAACCGCCGCCCACACACCTCATTAGATAGGCGCGATGCTCGAGCGGGCCCGCTCGGTTGTGGACGACCCATGGTCGGCTTGGTTGGGATAGACGGGCTGGATGTGCCGTTGCTTGGCGTCAAGGGGGGCAGGCGGGGATTCCCGGTGTGCTGCTGCGCGCCGGGGGAAACAGAGGCCGGCCTGGTGATGATGCCCATATTTCCTCTGGACATGGTGGCGCTGCCGGCGTCCACGGTGCCCCTGCAGATTTTTGAGGCCAGGTGGGTTACCACTGGAGGAGCGACCGTCTCCTTGTGCGATCGCAGAGATTAGGCGGCTCATGTGCAGGGATTCGTTTTATTTCCATGGGCTGATGCAGATTGGTGGTGAGTCGTTGCTGGCGGAGTCAGCGCCCGGCACATTGGCTCCCCGTGACAGAGCCGGCGGATGGGTTGTTCGCCGGCACTCGGTTGGCGACTGGTTTCACAGGTTGTCGTGTGCTTTCCTTCAGGTATCGGGTGCTGTTTAGCACGCTTCTCGGCAGTGGCGAAGGGTAAGTACGTTGGCGCTGAAAGCCATGACGCTGCGTTGGGAAGCGATGCAGCATTTGGGACACTGCGGTGGTGTACTGGAAACATAGTGGATTCTCGTGTTCGACTATCCATTGAAACAATATGCACATCAGCCTAAGTCTTGTGCGGACTGCCTTGCCGGCCATGGAATACAACAGCCCGCTTTTTCATTCTATTCATCCTGTGCTTGCATTGCCGTCAACGTTGAGCTGTTCCATTGTTCCACATGGGGACATGGTTTGGCTTGCAAGTTGGCAATTTTGTTCATGCTCTAGCCATTTGTGCAGGGCGCAACCATCAATTCTCAATGTCTTCTTGGATAGGCAATTCAACTGCACATGTCCTTTGTGCCCACGATTAGTTCATGGATTGCAATGTCTGAGCAGTTGCCCAGTTCGTTCAACATCAATGCGAAGACATCATTGTCAATCATATCAATCGTCATTATCATCAACATCATAGCAGACACTTGGTATTCCTCTTGTTACCAGGGTCGACGAACATCTCATCCAGAAGGAGAGCCCATTCCTGGGTTCCAGGAAATTTGGGATGTCTTTCACTAGCCAAGGAGGAATTGCCAAAGTTGGGACAATCCTTGAGATTCAACAACATGTGCCCCTGGAGGATGGGCGCATGCTGGTCACATCAAGTGGGGTGCAGCGATTCCAGATTGTTAATGTAGTACAGGAACGACCAGTGCTTGTGTGTGAAGTGAAGATGCTTGAAGACACACCTGGTGAAGATGAGAAGTTGGTAGGTGTGCCTCTGTCGTCCCGATCTTCTGTTCAAACTGTAAGCACTTGGGAAGCCTTGCATCCTATTTCTGTCCTGGTATGCATTCCCTTCATAAAGGAGGGACATCATCAACCGCTGCTTTCAAGAACCACAGCTGGTAGTGCCACTGTAGAAAGAGGGAACACAAGCATAGACTGGAATTGTTGCCATACATGCCAACAACAGCACATACGTGCGATCAGAGATTGGTTCCAAATATTGTCATAATCATGGCATCGCATTTTCCCAGGCAGCCCTCACGGTTAACAAGATGACGCTGTCAATTATTTGATTGCACACACTTTTGTTGGGAAGCAGTGCTTTTGTTATGCAAGTGGCCATGCTGTGTTGTTGCCTCTATATCCTAAAACAGGAGCGCCTTTGTGGGCATCACATTATTGATATTGTATGGCCACTTATATTGTGAGCAGGGGACAAGAGTTAGCAGGGGCACATGAGACTCTCATGGTTGCAACTGCAGCCCTTGCTGGGCTGTGGAGTACAACAGGAGGTAATTGCACATCTTTCTGCTGTCATGTTCCTAAGACCCAGCACGCACCCAAGCTTGTTGCGTGCGTTTTTGGTCCGATCCTGTGTCCCCACATGCGCCCATGTTGGTGCGGTAGCAGTGCAAGTTCTGACCACCTAGATTATCAAATCAAGCTCAAAGTTCCCGTCCCCATGTGGCTGTGCCACGATGGCGCTCAATGATAGCCATCGGTGTGGCAAGTTGCCTTTGGCAACTGCTGTGCTGAGTGCAATTGCCACATCATATGCCCTACCACCAAGGCAAGGGGCCCCAAGCTTGGGCCCCTAAGCTTGGACCCCTCAAGCTTGGACCCTAAAGGGCAGTTTAAGGGTTGGGGCGCGTCGTCATGTGTAAGCTAACAATCGTGCTATGCGTTTTGGCGAGGCTGGGGAATTGCATCGCCGCTGTAAGATGGCAGGGATGCCATCAACAGAGGGCCTTGATTGCTGGCTGTGCACACAGTACACACGTGCACGCTGTGTCCAGGGAGAGAATCGCAGATGCCGTGCTCCCAAGGGTGCCTCTCCTTTCTCCTTTTCTTGTCCTTTCAATTAGGCAATAGAGGAACAATTGTTGCAGGTTGCAGTTACCATAGCGTATTGAACCCTTCCACATTGAGAAAATTTCAGCGTTGCGATTGTTTCTCCGCATTTTTTCGACAGACCCTTGTTTTGTGGAATTCCGCATCATGGCCACAGTAAGAACGGCAACTTTGCTCGGTTCACATGGCCTCGAATGTCAGTTTTCCGCCGCAGCGGCTCATGCATCCAGGGCCGCTAGATGCCGCATGGACTCCCGAGATGCTCGCGTCGCGCTGGGGCTGCTCCACATTTTCTTGGCTCTGTTGCGTTATTTCTTGTCCGCATAAGGATGCCAAACGTTACATTACAGTGGGAAGGGTATGTTATACTGTGATACTGCTGGACAAAGTTGGGACGAAAAAATTGTGTAACTTTGGGCCGAAGGCCCAGATTCTGGACTGGTTGCGACATGTCGGCCAGCACGTCATTTTCCAGTTTGTCGCTGACCCGAAACGCACTGCGAGGTCCCAAAATTTGGACGATCTTTACACGCTGAGTTATCCCACGAAGTTCGTGGCACGAACCGTTACGCATGTAATGTTCGAACACCCTTCAAAGATCGTGCCCATAGAATCTTCATTCCCTTGCCAAGGTGGGCTCACCCACCCATGCCAAAGTGAGCGCGATTACCCCCTTGCTGCGCTCCACATTGATCATGGCCTGGCGCCACCCGTACAGGAAAGGGATAGGGTGCACGCCGCGGCCCAGGCGAGGTCCCCTGGGTGCTGCCGTTGAAATGCCACCCCCTTGTCAATCCCTTTGTGAGCACGACTCTCGGCATTTGTAGCTTGGTGCTGGGCGCGGCCTCTTCTTGATGCAGTCTCCGCGCTTCTGGAGGGCCTTAGGGAGCCGTTCTCCTTCTCCGCACCAGGAAACCCTAATCCCCAAATGCCCAGTTGGGACCCGTCTCCGCCCCCGTCTCCATCATCTTAACTGTCTTTGTCTGGTCTTCGTCAGGTCTCTGTGCTCATAGTCTGTCTCGAGAACACTGTGGACTGACTTGACTGTGCCGTGACCAGCAACCCGTTCTACTGAACAGGCAGGCAGAATTTGGACACGATATCTGGCTACCGCACTTCCTTCTGCGCTTTAGCACTGTCCAGAGTGAACAACCATGCAAGTTTGGCAGGCGCTCTAGGGGTCCCTTCAGACTTGTTTGTTCCGGAGCTTGTGAATCCTTCCTTTCTGTGACGGCGCTCCCTGGTGCTTTGTTCCAGGTCCTGGACCTTGCCGATGAGGTTAGGGAACTGTTCCGCAGTGCCTTACAACTGCACCACAAACTAAAGGGTACGCAGTCAAAGACAAAGGTCAAAAAGGAGCAGCTGGAACCAGAGGAGCTGTCTGAGCTGCCGGCATGCGACCTCTCCTTTTGGATTGCATCCATGTTCCAGGACAGCCGTCAGGAGCAGCAGAACGTGAGTGCAGTAGGCACGCAGATGCTTACTTGCGGTGCTACGTTCGGTCACTGGTTGTTGTTGCCTGTGGGAGTGGGTGTTCATTGAGGTGCCATCTGCTTGTGTGCTTTTGTCCACAGCTGCTGGAGGAGTCGAGTGTATTGGGACGGTTAACGATGGAGAAGGTAAGCATCCCCAGCCTCCTGCAGCGGACGGATCACCACACGATGTCGCTGCAGCTTTGGAATTATTTGCTCCTGTGGAAGCAGTGTGAACAAAATGCCAGACAGTACAATGTTGGTTGGTCCTGAATGTGTCCTAGTGGCGATGGCTCCCACTGCAGCGCCCAAAAGACACTGTTGCGGCACAAAATGGTTCAAGCATCAGCACTGTTCGTTGGGAGTTTCTCGGAGTGCCAATGCAGCTTTGCGGTGGTGAGAACTGGGGTGCTGCGTGTGCAGGAAATGCTTGGAGGTACTGTGAAGTATCTTTCTGCAATGTCCGCCTTGAGCACTGCCCTCACTGATACGGAATCCACAGGACAAGACCCAGAGGCGTCTGGACCGGATTAGTGGTACTCCCGCCAGGGTTGCCGCCACTTCGTCACGCAGCGCAGCGAGGGAGTTGGGATGGCGAAAATGCCCCGTGGCAGTTGTGCTGTGTTGATAGTTGGCATGGAACCGAAGATGATGGCAGTCATCTGTTTGCCTCTTGCTAAAATTGTGTTGCTGATTTCATTGTTTGGTTGCTGGGAAAAGAATTGGCTGGTTGGTTGGCTGTTTGAATGCAACTGAAACTGGAGATGCCAGTGATGTAGGGCTTGGCTTATTTAATAACGATCAGAAAGTACTCAATTGGTGGGTGGATGCAAACGCTGGCTGCATTTTTCCAGCACTGTGACTTGAGCAGTGGTGGCCACACGGTGTGTGGCTTCGATCTGAGCGAGCTGCGGGTGAAAAGCTTCTGCGGACCTGTGCTATACTTCCAGGCTGGCAGTGTCGCAGCTGCAGCTTGCAGAACAATGGTCAGAGTCGAGACGGGCTCTTTGTTTGGGCAACGTTGGTGACAAAGTGACCCAAGAGAATGAAAAGACAATGGAATCCACCCAGCACTTACATGGACGCCCAACATGCACCTTCCAATATTTGGGAGCTCAGTGCTGGAGAGGCAGTTTCGACGTAAGTCCCATGTGGTCATGACCATTGCCACGTATTGCCTCTTCTCTGCTGTGGCCCCTGGGCACTTGAGTGCGACCAGGGGACAATGAGAGAAAGCACTCAGGATGTCAACGTGCCAATGCTGCCGCACATACGTTTGCAGGGGTGGTGGTGGTTGTTCATCGCTCTTGTATCGCCAGACTGCATTGTCTTAACACTTACCCGTGCAAAAACGGTGAATGATTTCCTGTCCACGGCATGCATTCTCTCTCCAAACGCGACTCCAGGTTCCAAGTGCCGTTCCCGAAGCCTGCAAAGGCACCGAGGGCCGAGCGGGAACACACTGCATGGAGTTAAAGGCATTCATCCGCAACTGCGTCTTCGCAGTTGCAGTGGCTGCAGCTCGTGCCAAGTCGTGCGGTCAATTGATGTCGTTGGTTGACATGGGCCACCACCTCCAATTACCTGGGCGGGTTGCTAGCGATGGTGCGTGCGCAACGCAGGGTTGCTATCTATCCCATTCCCAGCGCGGATTGAGCTGTGGCATCGCCGCCAGGATCGACGTCAAGGAGGGGGAGGGGTCCCTGAGCCTTAGCATCAATTTTACTTCAAGCATGGCAGGAACATCGCCGAGTGCCACCCTTAGAATGTGTGGTTCCAGAAACAGTCTTAGCAGTTTCAAGCCTGCTATGCATTTGCAACGCATAACAGGCTGAAGGGACATAGCCTGGGCCTTCGACATTTGCAACCCTGTTGCTCACATGTCATGCAGGGGTTGGTATTGGTGTGTTGGTGTTACCTTAGTGAATTCTACAGGAAGAAAGTGCCGCTGGATGGTTTGTGCCCAAACTCAGTTGGAGTGCAGCTCAAGTTGGCTGTCCCCATTACAATGTCCACAGCGTTACCAAGTCGTCGACAAGTGATGCAATGAGGACTGAAGATTGGCGCCAGGGTGGTCATGGTGGGCATGCAGTTTAACCACATAACGCCATTTTCAAGTGCTTCCGCGCAAGTCGCCACACTAACATGCTTCGTGTGGTCCCGGTTGGTGCAGGAACCCCTCATTGCGGTTGGTGACAGGCGGCACAGCCGTTGTCATGCCTATGGGACACTGGAGTTCGTTCGTGCAGAGGGGTTTGCAAGATATGGGCGATTTGTCACCACGTCCAAATGAATGGGGATTCCCATTAGGTGGCAAAACGCATCAACACGTCAGATCAAAACTAGCAAGGGCCACCTTGTCTCCACTGTTCCAGAACCTACAAGAAAAGGCCTCAAACGAGGCATTGGCCAATTGACAAGTCGTGTTCAACTACAAGCACCTCAATCCCACTCCTAACAGTCATAATCTTCCCAGATCAGAAGTGTGCTGCGACACCCTTGCTCCAGCATTGCAAACGGATATAACCAATGTCAAGGAATGCTGTTTGTAGGAGACACAATGCCACACATGTCATTCACAGAAGAATAACTTCGTCACAATCTGAAGCATGCTTTGGACCTGCATCCTCCTTCGTCGCAATCTGGAGCATGCTTTGGACCTGCATCCTCCCTGCAGTGGCGAGCTCACAGCAGACCATGTCACATCTGAGCAGCAACACAAACGAGTGAATAAAACACGACCGGAAAAATCTGCAGCTGCAAAGACTGGCTCCTAGTGCAGCATGAGAATTACCACAATCCACCTTTGGTGTGATAAACAAACTTGTTGCCACACACAGCAACTAAATGAATTTGCACATTCAGATCACCCAAGCTCGCAGTTTCCCTTGCAGCAGATTGCCCAACGAAGATGCACACAGTGGAACACAGGGCATGCCAACCAGCTAATACTCGGGCTGGGGGTATTTCGCAGCAACTACAGTGTACCATCCCAACGCCCTACCTGCTGAAACATCATCCACTCAATAAGCCAGCTGTGCCTCCGAGTCGAAGTCCCATGAGCCACTCTCCATGGGGGGCATGAAGAATATCTGCAGCATGAGAACGACCATCTGCACGATGATTGGCGCTCTCTGCGCATTCTTCAGCATCTCCGGCGCGTCCCCCTTCCCGATGGTTGCCAGCTTGGTGTTCAGCTCCACCAACTTGTCCATCTTGATGAAGAAATCAGGGTGCTCGGTGTCTGGCACCGCGGGGAAAATCCGAGCGGTCGTCTTGTTGGTCTCGATGATGACATGCTGATTGAATTGTGTGGTGTTCAAGCCGAGAGCGCTGTAGAATGCGTCCCTGGAGTGGTCATTGAGGTACATGGTGATGTAGACAGACAGGCAGAAGAAGCGGGACCACAGCTTGGCCTGCCAGTCGTCCTTGCTCACCAGCTGGGGCTCCGACTTGAGCATCGCCGAGAAGAAGTCGCCGTGCCTGTTCTCGTCCTGGCACCAGTTCTCAAAGTACTCGAAGATGGGGTAAAGCTGGCAGTCCGGGTTCCTCTGCAGGTGGCGATAGATCGAGATGTATCGCCAGTAGCCGATCTTCTCCGACAGGTAAGTGGCGTAAAGAATGAACTTGGGCGCGAAGAACGTATACTGCCTGTTCTTGGTCAAGAAGCCCAGGTCCAGCGCCAGGTTGAAGTCGGACATCGCCTTGTTCAGGAATCCCGCATGGCGCGCCTCGTCGCGCGACATGAGCGTGAAAATCTCCGCCACCACGGGATTGGTCTTCTTCAGGCGGCGCCCCAGCTCCTTGTACAGCAGAAATCCCGAAAATTCGGCAGTGCACGACCTCTCCAGGAACTCCACAAATATCTTGCGCGTCGGGCCCGTGATGCCCTCCGCCGCCTTCTTGAACGTCTCGTTCCTCACGAAGTGCCGCTGGTTGTAATCGGTGCGGAACTCCTTCAGCAGCGCCTCGAACTCCGCCGTGTTCAGCTGAGGGTTCTTCTCGGGATTGAACATCTCCTCCATCTCGTCGAAGTCCGT